CCGCCGGAAGCTTCCCTCACCAGCCTGCAGCCAGGACCGATCCCGAGCCGCCGGAAGCTTCCCTCACCTGCCTGCAGCCATGCTCGAGGTAAGTCACGCAGACCTGCATCAATCCTTCAGTCACTGCTGGTTTCAAATGTTGGTCTCTGTTCACTAGGAGTGAAATAGCTCTGCACAGGGGAGGCTGTCAGGAGTTACTTTAGTTTTGTCCTGACTTTTACTAATCGGAAGATGATTTAGTCTTTAAATTAAAGTAGGTCCAACTGTTGTAAATGTCCAAAACTTTCTTAAGTCCATGTTTTCCCCTCAAATATCTAAATGGACTTTTCAGCCTTTCATGCTGTGGAAACTTGTGGGTTTTACTTTGGGGATGTGTTTTCACAGATTGTGGAAAAAGAAAATGGTGTCTGTGTTTAAATTTTAGCTGCTGAGCAGACACCAAAATGCTTCCTCAATAACACACAGAACATCAGTAACTTACTTGATACTGAGTTAAAAACGGCTTTTACTTCTTCAAATTCCCTCATGTGATCTTTGCAAATGCATTGTGGGATTGTTAACATGACACTTGGTTTTTCTAACTTTTGAAACCAAAACTCTAGTGAGTAAATCACTCTCAAAATTTAAACTTGGATACAGTACTGACTGTGAATGAAGGCTATACAATTATAATTTATGTCCTCCTAGAATTAGATTGTATGCTTGTTGAGCTCAGTATGGCTAAAGGCAGGACTTAATATCAGGCCTGGCCCCAACTAAACTTTTTTTTTTATTTTATTTTTTTTTCTCCCCTAGACCAGCAGTGATGACCTGTTCCTGCCTTCCTGCCAAGATGAGGAGCTGGTGGACAACCTGCTGTCCAGTGAGGATGGTGATGATGGAGCAGGCCTCTCCCTGGCCAAGGCCCTGCTTCCACTGGTCGAGTGCTCCTCCTCTTCCCTCATCCCCTGGGTCTGCTCCACCCGCTACAAGACAGAGCTCTGCACCAGCTACTCCTCTACTGGTTTCTGCAAGTACGCCGAGCGCTGCCAGTTCGCCCACGGCCTCCATGAGCTCCATGTTCCCTTCCGCCACCCAAAGTACAAGACGGAGTTGTGTCGCAGCTTCCACACAACAGGCTACTGCTACTATGGCAGCCGTTGTCTGTTTGTCCACAACTCCACAGAGCAGCGCCCTGTCCTACGCCGCCGCAGGAATGTCCCCTGCCGCACCTTCCGCTCCTTTGGCGTCTGTCCCTTTGGCACGCGCTGTAACTTCCTGCACATTGATGGAGAAGAAGGTGGAGACAGCAGTGGTCTAGGGTCTCCTGATGTGTGTGAGAGGTCTCCTGATGTGTGTGAGAAGACTCCGTCTGGTCTCAGCCCCCAACTCCCACCACAGACCAAGGAGTGGAAGCCTCGAGGAGCTTTGTGTCGTACCTTCAGCTCCTTCGGTTTCTGCTTGTATGGTACTCGCTGTCGCTTCCAGCACGGCCTCCCCAGCAAGACCAAAACCTCTGACCAGAGTCCAGGAGGATCTCTATACACCAAGCTGTCTGTTGGCAGCTCAGGTTTACCTTCCCCCTCTTTCTTCAGTTCCACCCCAAACTCTTCGACCTCCTCCTCTCCTCCATCAACCTCTCCTCTCACCACTCCACCCGCAGAGGCCACAGTCCACAATGCCTTCACCTTCTCCAGCCAGCACCTGAGTGACCTCCTGCTGCCGTTGGCTCTTCACCTGCAGCAGCTGGAAACCAGCAAGGCCCAGGAGATATGGGACAACAGAGCTGTTTAAGTGGTGGTGGTTGGAACCAGCACTGCACACCACAGCTCAATGAAATATTTTTTTTAACTTTTTTTATTTTTTTTTTTAACCCCTCCTTCCCATGGGCATGTTCTTAAGTTGTGAGTGTATGTTATCAGGTCAAGCAGGCCTTGAGCTGTAGTAGATCAGAGGTATTGAATAGTTCCGGACCTCCTGTTTCAGGTTCAGCTATGAGTGTCATTAATTTTTTAACTATTGTACATACTTTATTAATGAACTTGGTAAATGAAATGTCTCACCTCAGCATTGTGAATAAACTATTTTAATCTCTAACTTGTGTTGGATGTTGGTGCTGTGTAAAGGCCTTACTACTCGAAACACTTTCTTGTGCATCAAAATGACAGGAAGCAAGTGTGTTACAACCTGGCTCGCTAGGGAAGAGGAGGTCACATAAAAGCCAGATGGTTTTGGTAAATGACAGTTGTTTATTTTAAACTAGATCGTAGGACGATGCAAGTAACATGAACTAACGAAACATGCAAAAGGGGTGCGATTTCAAATAAAGAAACAAAGGACTCTTAACGATAGCTGCACAAATGTAATGCAGAATCTTCTTTAAACAAAACAAGTTCAAACTAAAATGCAATTTCTTTTCTGACTATCAGACAACAGCAAATAGTTTCTCAAAAATAAATGTAATTAGTTTGGTGAACTGTTCTCTCACACACTACAGCTGGGCAGAATTTATACTGCCAGCCCTTGGTGATTCTTCCTGAGGTTTGGGGTTGACATCGCTCTGCAAGGAGGAGAATCTGCCAGGCTCCAGTTAATACAAAACACACAGGGACAGGGACAGGGGGCTGTTATGGCTGTGACTTTGTGGAATTGAAAGTTGTAGCAACAATTGTATCACAAGTTGGTTAGTTCAAATATTAATTCCAGAATTACTGGTATTAGAACTACTCTGCACTTGGCAGTGAAGTCTCAACACTGCAGCAGTTTAGTCAACTTCACTTATTTCAACATGACATTTCAATGTAATATTTTGGGAGAACTTGACCGGTCTGCACAGAGCATAAACATCACCTGAGAACATTATCTTCGAATTCAGTATTGAACATCGCTAATGGCCAAGGTATTGTTGTACAAACGTCTTTTTGACAAAACAGAGGTCCTCATTAGTTAAATTATTCATATCTATAAACTTGACCAACTAATTATAGTGTTGGACGGCCATTTTGCTTCTCGGGAAGTTGACATTAGGTCTGCATAGTGGGCAAATCTATGTGCCACAGCAGTTATGATATTTGCAAAGGAATTTTTAGACTAATCATGATCAGCAAAATAATCATAGCGCATTATTAGCCTGCAGAATCAACAGGAGGGGTTTCATTGGTTCCTAATCCATTTCTGTTTATTCGTATTGATTCGGTGACAATGTTTCTCTGCACAATAGAAAACCCACAAGGAGTAACTTGGAATTATGAAATAAAAACAATTTCAATCATTTTCTATCAGTCATCTTTAACATACTCTCTTCTAATAATCTGATGATCCGTCAGATTTGTCTGGTATCCCTGTCAAAATATGTCGTTCAAACTAACTCCAGCTGCTACAACTGTGAAATATTGACACACTGCAGTGCCTTATTATCTGATAATGTCATATTTAATAATCAGTTGGGACCAATCAAGTACTTTTACTTTAATTCTTCATACTACAGATGTTCTTATATTAAACGATTTTCAATAAAGCAATGAAATTGTTTTCTTAATTTGCACGTGTTTTTTCTATTTGCATGTGTTTTCTTAATTTGCATTGCGTTGAGCTGTCTCGGCCACCGTATTTGCCTCCTGTAACGTCACTGGTAGAACACGGAACAAGTTAGCTGCAGCACTGTTCGATCCGGTTCTGTGGTAGGATCCAGTTAACCACAGATAAACTGGGGGACGTGGGGTGGTTAAACCAAACTAATGTCACTCCAATGGAGAGTATAACCAGGGTTCTACATTTCATTTTCACCGCGGAGATATGACTCAAAAACAAAAGGCGCACAGGAAGTTCTCCAGGGGTGTCTTAATTTGAAGAGCTTGGCGGTGGTGGGCTTCCGTCGCACTGTTTAGCTGTCGCACCGTGAACACACAACACAGCAGCGACGCTAATGGAAACTTTCCCTCTGACTTGAATCATTGTCACCTTGAACCTTTCACGTTAAGAAGGTAAAGTCCAATTCAAGTGAATAATTAATGAGACTTCCGTTGCAGTTCATAGACAGCTCCATGTTGGTTTATCACCTTCACGTTAGGAGATTGTAGCTAGCTTCAAACCCGGTAATGGCTCAGACCTATTGTTATTGGGCTGTTTCCCACTCGGTGTAGCTAATACATCAACAGTCAACAATCAGTGGTGGTCGTCTGTAGGACACAATGAAATCAGTTGTTGCTTCACTTACTTTTAACTTTCAGGAAGTAGACAGAGCCCAGGTTTTATTTAGCTAGCATGCTACATAGCAAGTCCGCGCTGGCCCCCTTCCTCCAGAGAGGAGCGTGCAAATCTCAAAACAGTTTTTTTCCAAGTTCTTGGCTTTTCGTCGCCACTGCGTAAAGTATAGGAGTCAGTTCGTTTAATGAATCCATAATGTGATTAGTTCAGCTCGGGGGGGGGAAAGGGGTGTTTTCAGTAATGTGATGCGGTTTTAATGAAAACTTTAAAACACCCGCCAGGAGCGTTGGTGCTCAGAGCTGCTGCTGAAGTTCATGAGCAACTGTCACTCTCCAGCCAGTGGTTTGGTCTGGCTCAAAAAGTGTAACAGTATTTATTAAAGGTTCAGTGTGTACGATTTGGATGAAAGGGATCTATTGGCAGAAATTGAATATATAATAAGTGTGTAATCATCTTAATTGTGTGAATTGTTGTTTTCTTTAACCTAGAATTGGCCCTTTATATTTAAATACCTTATATTTACATCAGGAGCGGTTCCTCTCTATGGAGGCCGCCATGTTTTTTTTTGTAAACTAAACACCCTAATGAGTTTGTATTGCAACTGAAGGTGTCAGGTTGTCTCATGTTTGGAAAGGGAGGGCGAGATGAGGAGTATCCAGCTGTGACATGCAACTTCACCACTAGATTTCACAAAATAATCCAGATTGAACCTTTAAAGTGAAGTGTTTTCTCTGCCAGTGTCTGAGTGGTCGCTGGGAGCATGGCGGACCGGGAGGAGCGCCGCTTCGCCGAGATTTCCCGAGAGTCTGTCAAATTCATGGCCGAGAGTTCGGGCGTGGAGCTCGGCGATGATGTTGCTGCTCTGCTGGCTGAGGACGTGTGTTACCGGCTCAGGGAGGCGACACAGGTCGGTGCCATTGTCAGGTTCAAAATATTAACAGATGCTAACGCAGAAAAAAATAAATAAAAGTGTTTCCATGTATAAGGGCATTGTGAGTTATTTATGTTGCTCCTGTGTTTTTGGGCCATAGAGCAGCTCACAGTTCATGAGACACGCCAAGAGGAGGAAGCTGACAGTGGAGGATTTTAACAGAGCTCTGCACTGGAGCAATGTGGAGGTTAGTGTTTGAGTTATAATGTTCACAGCAGTTCCTCTCTCCTCTGGTCAGTTGTGTGTCGGCTCTGTTAGTGTCTCCCCCTTCAAGCTCTTTTTCTGTCTGTTCACCAGGCCATTAGTGGCTATGGGGCGCAGGATGCTCTGCCTTTTCGCTCAGTGAAAGAAGGAGAGCTGTTCTTCGTTGAGGATCGGGACATCAACCTGGTTGAGTTGGCTCTGGCCACAAACATTCCCAAAGGCTGTGCTGAGACCATGGTACGAGGTATGACCCGCTGTGCTGGAACAAACCGCAAACAGATTTGTCCTTGACACTACTGAGAGTCCATGTTATATATATATATATCTCACAAGTTATTTCTTCTGTTTTGTTCTGATTTCTTGTCAGTGAATGTGTCTTACCTGGATGGGAAAGGCAACCTGGAGCCTCAAGGGACCGGTGAGCCTCTACCACACTATGGCTTCATCTACACAACACCATTTTAAGCTGTCCAGACAAACATTTGGTCTCTGTCAGTAATTCCATACTAACACACCTGAAAATGTATATCCCATAACCATTCACATGCACTGGTAAAGGACATTATTTGTAGGGATGGCAGTGTGTCACTCTTTATTTGTTTGACATTTTGTGGAAAAGATATTCATGCTAATAATATAGCTTTACAATGTATTCTAACATTCAGTAACGAGCAGTAGTCTTCTGACTGCCCTTCCTCTTTGGCACTTGCATCACCTCAGCTCTTAGAGCTCCAGCTGTGGGCTTAACTGAGCTGGAGCTAACGTCTCAAACTGATCCGACTCTGGACCACCATTGGGGAAAAAGTCCTCCACCTCCAAGAACTCTGTGGCCAAAATGTTAAACTATTCCTTTATTGAATGGATTTCTGCCTTTGATAAGTGTGTCAATGTAAGCCAAAGGCATTGTTCTGACCTTACTGTTGAATTGCCACAGTTCCCAGTGCAGTGCAGTCTCTGTCAGAAGACTTGTTGAAGTACTACCAGCAGATCACTCGGGCCATCCTGGGAGAGGACCCTCACCTAATGAAGGTACACTGCAGCTGAACACAGGCGGACGTTCTGTGCATCTAAACAATGTTACAATCGTACATTTTTCTCCTGCGTGTTTCAGGTGGCTCTGCTGGACCTCCAGTCCAATTCCAAGATCGCTGCCTTACTACCGTACTTTGTCTATGTCATCAGCGGGGTACGTTTCCCAGATGCGCCCATGCAATCTTTTGATATGTCATCTAATCTCATCCACTGATATCGACACTGGACCAAACTGACTTAAGTTGTAGGAACTGATGCTGATTCTCAGCCTCAACTAAATTTAATAGCCTTTTATAGACCAGAGCTACTTCCCTGTTCTCTCAGTGCCTCAACATACCAACATTCAGTCATAATAGAACCAACATAACTCTCTTTCTGGGCGTCTGACTGGGTACATGGGCATTACTGAAGCAGAGGCTCAGCACTGTAGCTTGGCTGTCATCCTCTGAGGATACTGAGATTATGTCCTCAGTAAATTAGCATTTAAATCTTTTGAGTCGGGGCTTTGATTTTAACAGTCACATATCATTTAAAAATTATATAAAATGTCTGGATAGTTCTTAAAATCTGAAGATTTTCTAATGCCATTTAATTATCCAATGTATTTAATTCATTAATTTAATACAGAAACATTTATCAAATTATTAAACTGTTGCAAGAAATATCTTTATATCTTAAATATCTTCTTTTTTTTCTACATTCATCCACATGTTGATCCTGCGGT